CTTCTTTCATTTTACACTGATTGTATTAACTGAAAACGTATGCAAGGAATAGTAACTTCTTGCTAAGGCACGGCAATGTTCCTCATATCTTGCATATCATATTGTGGTTTAAAACTGGGTTGAAAGCCTCTCCCAAAGTCGTGAGTCCATTTATATCAATAGTTTAAATTTAAATCTTGTAATTGATTTTAAGTTCAGTGTATTCCAATTTTATATTTTCAAACTCTGGTTCATTTTGAAAGACTTTCCTCCAATTTTATTCACAAGTTGGAATATTAGAATTGAGATTTAAAAAAAAATAACCAGGCTCTCCCCATCGAGTCAGAATTATAGAAGTTGTAAAATTGACCTTGTTTTTTACAGCCTGACCTGAAAATCTAAAATGGCCAAAATTTATATTTTGTGCAATGACAGTGCAACAGACATAAACATACACACCCTGATGTTTGGCTTTAATGTCCTATTTGTTGTATTTTTTAATAAAAATTAATTGAACTATTCATTTTATAAGGTGGAATGCTGATAAAACCACAAAAAGCATTTATGAAGACTCGAATTGACTCAAAAACTATTATTAATATCAGGGTTCCAACAATTGGATAGAAACTTTTGCAGCCTTTTTGGCCATAAATAATGCTGAATATGCTATTTTTTATGTTAGCTATGCTGCTAATTCCAAACGTAAAATTACCTCACCTTTCTTCTGTTCACTAAATTGTAAGTACACCATCATATTTTTTAATGTACAGCTTCTTTTGTTTTGTCACTTTGAAGGTTGAATAATCCAAAATTTGATGAAAAATGTTCTTGATTTATAATTTAACAAATTATAAATCAAGTAGGATTTGTAGGATTGTTCTTAAAAGGTAATGGAAAATGTTCCTCTCGATTGTTTATTGTCAAATGTATTTTTGAATCTATAGCAACTATTCTTTATTAGGTTTTGTCCTAATTTGACCACATTGGCAACACTATGGGCCGGATTTATCAAGATCCAATTTTGCGTGCAGTAATTTGCGCTCGCAAACTGGAATTTTGCGCAAAGGGCTGAACCATGGTTTGCGGGTGATTTAACAAGAGTGATTGCGTAACTGGTGGCAGGTGCAAAACTGTTGGAGACGCCCTATTTAAATGATGGTTTTGCGCGTTTTGTGGTATGCGGCAAAGTAGTTTGTACAAACTAGAAAACTAGACTAGACTAGTAAAAACTAGAAATAGAAAAAAAC